ATGATTTATTTCTTTCCTTTTTTTTCTTTTGAATCGTTCCCCCTTCTGTGATTGTTCTCGTAGGTTGCATATGTTGAGGGGAATAATGCCCTCGTGAGGATTCTGCCAATTTTCGTAGATGAAAGCAGGCGTCCTGTCAAGTTAAGGGCCTCAACGAATTTTGCAGAGGAGGGACCACCGAATGATCCACCTACATGGATGTCCTTTTCTGGTTGTTGGCATGGCTCCAGGTTCTCTAACGTGCATGGGGGACCTTGCAACCTTACTGGTATTCGAATTTTGTTGCTAATTTGACTGTTGAAGAAGGGATAGGGGTACCACTAGGCTGTTCATGGCTTCCGTCGTGGCATGTTGAGACCACTGAAAGTGTCAACGTGGGGCACTGGAGGGCTTGGGAGAGTCTGGAACCACAACTGGTGATCCTGACCATTGGCGCTGTTCACGTGAAAGGTGAAGGGGCTTTAAAGTTGGAGGGTCATAGAAGGCGACAATTGATGGTTGATGCTTAGGGTTTACCCTAAACCTTCTCATGATTTAGGCCTTCAACAGGTTGTGCTTAGGGTTTCATTTGGATAATGTGTTAACAATGTAAATGAGTTTGAACGAGTTGAGTTATAATTTGTATGATGGACTTTAATATTTCACATTTAATGGACATCTGACTTATTTGGTTTTTGTTGATTTGTGGAATTTTTCTTTTTCAACTTTCTTGTAGGCAAATGACATAATGACCCATAAAAGCATTTAACCCTCTCTTTTGTCCAATTTTGAATGTTGAAACATTGAGCTGACCATGTCGATACTCAAGCAAATTAAAACACTCGAGCTTTAAACGAACTTCAATTGAAAACCCGTTAGCTTGGATAATTAAATGCTCGAGCGAATCAATTTCCATCATGTAAATATGAACGACCCTAAATTTCTCTTCGATAAACCCATATTCAAATTACTTTGAAAAAACTAGGGTTACAAAAGGCAAAGGTAGAAGACTTGTATTTTGCTTTCCTATTTGAGAAGAGGATGAATACTCTGATCACATTATCATAATGATTAAACAAATCCTTTAGAGCAGATCTGGAAACTGATCTTTTATTGAGATTATCCACAACAATCGTCCATGACTCTTTGGTAATAGATAAAACGTTTGTACTTCATACTGGGTTCGCACCCTCACCATTCTTCATCTGAAAAGTTATTGTATTAATATTCTAGAAAACTGTTTTAATCTCACAATAAAAGTAGTAAAAAGAGAGGTCCTCTCAGGTGGTTGTCTTCATCCACCTTATGGTGGGTTTAGGTTCAAAGGTAGAATTTTTTGTCTATTAGGTTCATTTCTTTAGTGGTCGTTTCGAGCGTCGGGTTTGGAATTCTAAACTGATAGTTGGGAGTACTTCTAGTGTTATAATGGTACTTTGTTTGTTTTGCAGGACCACTGATGTTGTCAAGCTTCTGTTGGTCGATAAGAGATTGGTAAAGAATGATGTTATTGTTCGCACAATTAGGCTGGTTTCTATGGTGTGGATCACTCCATTAAGTGGTCGATTAGGTCTTGAGAAATTTTCGGGAACAAAAAATATATAGTAATAGTTATCTCCGATCCAACATTAGTAGAGCCAAAGAGGGGCTTTACTCTCGTGGATTTTCCCATTCGACTGAATCAGTTGAGAGGCTATCATCATTTAATTCAACAAAAAAAAAAAAAACGACAATGATTAGCTTGTTGGTCAATGGATATTTTTTGTGTTCTGCATGGCGTGGTAGTCACGCGCCTTAAAAGTTGATAAGCCCTAAAATGTGAAAATTATCTTGTAATTCTTGAGGAGCCAATTTACAGGTTCGATCATAATTATCGCCCCGGTTCCAGCATGGAATACAGTGATCCTCACAACCCTGATATTCTCCCTTTTTTAAGGCAAAATCTTTGTGCATGGCTAGAATGGATCAATAATTTTGGCCCATCCACGATTCAAGCATGTGTATATTTTTTTAGCACTATTAAGGCAGTTTGTCTTGTCAGTGACTGCTCCATCACATAAAAAATTCTTCCTTGGACCTAATCCAAAGAACTGATAAGAAAACCCGTTAACACCGTGGTTGATGAAGTAGATAAACTTTTGAGTGAACTCAATTTCACTAAAGAAGAAACTCTGGTCCTTGATAATCTTGATCAAAAAGAGATTTCACCAACTCTAGACATGGAGCAATGGCTAGTGAGAAAAGTGATTTCAAAAAAACGTATTATTATTGGGAAAACCTCTCTAGGGTTTTTCGATCTATTTAGGGTCCCAACAAAATAGAAAACATACAACCACATGATCATTACTTTTTTCTCTTCAATCTAAACACCATAGTTGATAAGGATTCTATCCTTCAAAGATGCCCGTGGAGCTTTGATGGAGATATCCTTGCTTTAAAAAGCTTTGACCCTAACCTAACCCTGAATGAATATGACCTTTTCTATCTTCTCGTATGGTTGCGTATTTATAACTTACCCATTGTTTGGATGAATCATGGAATAAGTGAAGCCATAGGCAAGACCTTCCATAAACCCTAGAAGTAGATTTGAGAGAAAGCGCTAACAGAATAGGTGAATACCTCAGAATTAGAGTTATGGTAGACTCAAAAACCCCTCTTAGAAGATGTGTGGCGTTAGGAACGAAAGAAGATGGTTGCAACAGATTATGTATGGTCAAATATGAAAGACTCCTCACTTTTTGTTATTGGTGAGGTATTATTGGCCATCTTCAAGACTCATGCTCTTAAAAGCTAACCGATGAAAACTTTCCTTTCCAATATAATTATTGGCTTCGAGCAACTCCCATTAGACAAATATCTAACTCATCTGGTCTAGAAAGAATATTACTATCTTCTTGAATGATAGTAAAAGTTCCAAACAACACAAGACCATGATAAAAGACATGGAAGTTTTCTAGAAGATAAATCTGAGATACAAGGCGGAGCTTCAGCTAACCAAATGTGAAGTGTTCTAGATGTCCCACATGACCATAAAAATAGAAGCACAAAGTGAGGCGTCCAAGGAAAAAATGAATTAGTGAATCATATTTCTCTTAAAAAACTCTGTGATGAGGAAATAATAGATGAAACTCCTTCAAAGAATTGAGTCCCCTCAGAAAATTAAGGAATATCGGTGGAGGCAGCAAGTCATCCCCATCGAGATCAGTGGCTGAGAACCCATGATTGTATTCATGATGACTATTTCAAGTTTGAAGAATGTTGGGTTACGGACAAGGCTTGTGCACGTACTGTAGAAATCGCTTGGCATCACATGCATCGATCAACATTAGACAGATTTTGCAATATTGGGGTTAAGCTACACCAATGGAAGAAGGGGGGAAAAACATCAAGGAGGAAGAGTAGACTCAAAGATCAAATCGAACTCTTGTTGAATAAACCTGCTACAAATAAAAATGTAAAAATGTTAGAGCTTCGAATGATTTCAAGGCAGAATTGAATTTACTAATTGGCAATGAAGAATCATATTAAAGGCAAAGATCTCTATTGCATGGCTGGAGGATGGATACATGAACATTATATTCTTTCACGCACGAGACAGTGGTCGAAGGAAAACGATCTGGGTTATCGGAATTAAAAATGAATTGTGACTGAACAGAATGCCTCGACAAGGTCTTTCGGCTAGTAACTCTTTCCTTTACCAATCTCTATCGATCATCAGGTAGCAAGTCAACGTCAATGATCCTTAAGACGATTAAGACCACTGTCACACTGGAAATTAACTGAACTTTAGCAAGGAATTCACGCCTGATGAGGTTAAGTCTACTTCCTTTAATACAAATCCTTCTAAAGCACCTGGTTTAGACAGTTTACCCGCTAGCTTCTATCTTAGATTTTGGGATTTAGTTGGCCATGAATTTATAGATGTTTGCCTTAAGCTTCTTAGACGAGACATTAGTATGAGCCTTGTTAATGAAACAATCATTTTCCTTATCTCAAAACTTCAATGTCCTAAACATATGGAAAATTTTAGGCCTATTAGCTTATGGATATGTAAAATGATTTCTAAGGTTCTTCTTAATCCACTACAGCAAAACTATACATTTGTAGCGTTTTTTTACCTATAGCGGCGTTTTTAAGCGCTGCAAAAAACACCTGCGGCGCTATGACAAACGCCGCAATAGGTGTTGATATTTAGCGGCGTTTTTCCAACAAACGTCGCAATAGGTGTTGAGATTTAGCGGAGTTTTTCCAACAAACGCCGCAATAGGTGTTGAAATTTAGTGGCGTTTTTCCCACAAACGCCGCAATAGGTGTTGAGATTTAGCGTCGTTTTTCCCACAAACACCGCAAAAGATCTGGTATATTGCGACGTTTTTTTAGAACGAACGCCGCAAAAGGTCATATCTATAGCGACGATTTAAGATAAAAACGCCGCTAATTACCTCTCTATAGCTAAAAGAAATTGATTTTGCAAATTAAAACTAATTTGTCAAATGTTGTTTTCTACTCTTTTATTACCCAAATTTAACCTGTAGCATTTTACAATAAACTTGACATCCATAACAACAAACTTAAAATCCATAACAAGAAAAATGAAATCCATAATAATAAATCAAAATTTACATTAACGTAAAATATAATGTAGTTCAACATTATTAACTATAATAAACAATAATATCTAAGATATTTTGCTTCTAATATTACACATTCTTCAAAACTCTTCGTCACAATGAGGCGCTTAAATTCAAATAGATAAATCCAGTTTATATGGGAAAACAATGATGCAGAGCTAGTATCGTCCTGTCATTTCTTGCACAGATATTTTGCTTCATGAGGTCTTACTCCAATTGGCATGCCACTTGAAAAGGCCCCATCCATGGCAATGCAAACCCGATCTCTAGTTTCATATCCAAATAAATCATCAGTTTATATGAAAATCCATTATATCTTACGCTAAAAAAGTTAACAACACATTTCTGCATGGTCAGTCCCAGCAGTCAACAACTCTATGGCATGGGCAACCATCATGATGATAAGCAAAATATAGAGATAGATCTTTCATAGTCGTGTCGATTACCGTTGGAAGTACAAATGTTGGTCACTGACTCCGACGAGTGACCTTCCTCAAAGATGTTCTCCGAGTCACCGGCAACTTGTCTTCGACCCTCGGATATCTGCAATACCTGCAGTGATGAAAGCTTGTAGCCTATTACCTATACTTATAAATATAATAACATGGAATAGTATTATGTACGAGAAGGAAAAGTCATACTTGTTGCTTCAATCGTTCATTTTCTTCCATCAATTCAACTTCCTGCAATGCATGCATCAAAACAGTCTTATGTCTATTCTTTAGTATCTTTTTAATTCCTCCTTTTTGACTGCTATTTTGTATGTTTATGTACTGACCTTTCTTTGAATGTCACTGATTTCTCTAATAATCCTTTGACCTTAAAATACATTAATAATTAGAGCTAATTAAGTTCATATGTTTAATCATTGATTAAGACTTGTACAGAAAAAGTAAGAACCTTTTTCTCTATCACGCGACTCAACCCAACTTCCACAAATTTCTCTAGCTGCTGTAGTTCTTCAACATTTAATCCTTGGAGATCGTCGCCCCTCATTTGCCTGTTTTAATGTAGAATCCACTTTATATATGCATATATCCTCATGAATAATATGAATAAAATTGATAAAAAAAAGATCATACCTCAGTTGATGACTTCTCTCTGCTATTTCCATTATTAGCATGGACTGGTTGCTGTCTTCTACGAGCTACAGACAAGAAACACCCTTCTCAATAATTATTGAAATTACAGAAGATAGAGATAAAACATCCTTGCTCTTCTAAAAATGGAATTTCATCAATAAAATTGATCACAACATTAAACCTCAACAAATGATTCAATAATAATCAATTATAAAGTGCAATAATTCAGGCATCAGTAAAACAAATAAGATACTGGAAAATAATCATCCCAACTCAGACTCTTTTGAAAAGTTTAAAATGCTATAAAACACTAGAGCCTGCCATTTAGAAATCAACTCTCAATAAAAGCTTAAAAAAAGCACTAGGTTAATAAGTAACTCAGTCATCAAGTCGTATGGTCAACCAACAAACATAGCTACACTAGAAAAAAGAAATGCAAGAGAACTTCAATCAAACTTATTTTTGCACCAATGACCTTACAAGAAAAGGCAATAATCAAATGCACCTAGCTTAAAAATATCATTGGTGTTTTTATTGTCTAGCACTGCATCTTAGCATGCACCTAGACAACACTGCCCACACCTTAAGTATGCCACTCCTACTTGAGATTTTAACTTGCATGTAAAATTTAGAGTTGAATGCTGATATACTTTATGCAACACACAATAAGCAAAATTTGCATCCAAATATTGTGAGATGTAAAACTTGAAACTAATAGAATTCACAATGATAAAATGGAAAGACAATCGTCAACACACATATACAGTGCAAGGAAAGGATGATAAAAACAATCAACATCATCAGCAGGATTCTGAAACGTTTGGTTAGCACTTTGAACTTGAGCAAAACGTAAGCTAAAGAGGAGAATATAGATAGTGAAAATCTATTACTTAGCTGTACTTGCGGTTGCGGACATACCATAACAATATCTTGGGGATCCACCTGTCAAAAGAAGGATTCTAGTTGTTATTTCATATTTTGAATTGCAAATGAATTTATGTACCAATGAAATATGAAATAACAAAAAAGTAAAGGGGTATAAAAGATGTCAGACAACAAATCTCAAAGGATAAGAAAGGCTACCTGGAGGTCACTGCATGGAAGAGTAATAACATCAGCCAGTAACATATCTGTGTCAGGATCTGAATAACATATTTGAGTAAGTATTTTATTTTTTAAAGGAGTCATGCAGGTTGCTAAATATAGCCATGGTATCAATCAATGGAAAGTAAGCTGCAGAAATGAATTTCAGGATTTCATCGAAATGAAAATAAGAGTATATCAAAATCTCAAAGAACAGAAAGAAATTCAGCAGTTTTCTCTGTTATGTTAAATCAAAAATACTAAACTAAAGCAAACCACAAATTATTAAGGAAAACTATAAAATAGAATTTTCTTCACTACAATTAAATATCCATATGAATAAATACATGAACTAAGGAACTGAAAAGAGGGCAGCAAACCACTGATACATTCAATATAGTTATAGACAACAAAACCATAATTCTAAAGATAACTGGAAAAAAATGACTGATGGAAATGTGAAGAGACGTGATTAGCCTTACCAACAGGTTTTTATTGAGGGACCAAAATCAATCATCTCTATCAAAACACATCCATTGTTCCTTTGTTTTCATCTTTGCACATAAACCATTTTTTTCTCGATCCATTTTTAAAAGTAGCTCTATATTAACAGTGATTTCAAAAGTAAATCCTAGACACACCCAAATATTAACAGTGAAACTGCAAAATAAGAAAAATCAGGCTACCTCGATTTAGTTATCGACATGAACTGCAGGACTTTGATCCCACGACTTCCCTCCAGTTTATGCTGTTACGAACAACAAAATCATATTACATGATATAAGAACATTTTCATTTTGTAGTAAATTTTATCTGTAATAATGACATCTCATATGAAGAAAATATACCTTAATCGTTTATAAATGGAGGAAAATGGTTGGTAGAGAGTCGAGGTTTACAACTAAGATAAAACATACAGAGTTGGAGTGCCACCAACTTTCTTCTTCTTCATCTCCTTTGTTTAAAAAGGAAAGAAAATATGTGTTGTCTTGAAGGTTTTGAAGGATGGGTTTTCTCAGAAGAAGTCGAAAAAATGGTGGCTTTTGATTCCATGAAAACATTAGAGGTCAAAAACCAAATTTTGAACAAAGCTTGTGTTTAGATTCCAATTTTGTAACTTTTCCTCCATTTTATTGTTAGCCAGACATAACCCATTTCAAAATTCCAACTTCGAATTCTCAAAAACCAAAATTTAACATGGGAAAGAAATTAGCTAAACAGAAAACATAATGCAAAACACAAAAATGCTTATGCCTGAAAACAAAATTGCAGGATACAGCTAAGTAAACATCAAATACAAAAGCATTAAACTAAAAATTCAAGAATCAATTATAAATTTTCAAAAAGATGAATCAGATGCATAAATGCAAATAACATGGAAACATGGGATATATATCCAATGTATAATCACTAAGTTGCAATGACTACGAAGAAGGGGAAATCTAAGGTAAGATAAGGATACTTAGAATTCAGTAGAATCCCAAAATCCCAAAATCCCATACACACTAATAACTTCCAAAATAAAATCCCAAATCTTTTCTGGTAATACTTTCTTATCATACACTAAATTATAAACATCTTGCTAAATTTAACATATAATACTACTTGATAAAGAGAAGAATAATCAGTTTGGGGCATTGATTCTTTAGAAAAAAAAGAAGAAAAAAAAACGGCAATGGGAAATGTAATGAACCACAAGAAGTAGCTAAGACATTAATAAAAAAGAGACTGTAAATACTTCATACCATATTATCGTAACCTTGGATCAACCGCGAATAATCAACAGTGCCATTTTCCCCTTCTTGGATTTACCCTCTCTCGCCCCATGCCTCTCAGACCTCAATGACTCCCGCGGCGACGAGCAGCACCAGTTTTGCGTGGATGGAAAAGATGAAAAAGGGGAAAGGGATTTGAAAAAATAGATGTAATGGCGAGAAAAAAAAGGCTTTCATAAGTGAAAAAGAAACTATGTTCTACGGAGATGGGCAAGAGGAAAAAGGGAATCGTGGGAACAGATGAAAAAGGGGATCGTGGGAACAGATGGAAAAGGGGAATGGGATTTGAACAATTAAAATTATCAAATATTGCGGCGTTTGTTGACAAAAATGCCACCTTTATCATTTTATAGCGACGTTTTCTAAAAAACGCTACTAAAGTACATGTTTTTGCAGCGTTTGTGTAAAAATGCCGCTACAGTTCTAATATTTTGCGGCGTTTGTTGGAAAAATGCCACTATAGGTGAACCCTATTGTGGCATTTTTTATAAAAATGCCGCTAAAGTACTAATCTGTTGTGGCGTTTGTCTATAAACGCCACTATAGATGGACCTATTACGGCGTTTGTATAAAAACGCCGCTAAAGTACTACTCTATTACGACGTTTATACAAAAACGCCGCTAAAGTACTACTCTATTGTGGCATTTGTTTAAAAAACGACGCTAAAGTATCATTTTGTGGCGTTTGGATAGTAAACGCTGCTATATGTTTAAATTTTTCGCTACAGAATAATTTTGCTGTAGTGATCGACTTAAACAACCATGCCTTTTTGTATCTCTAAAAGCCAAAGCGCCTTCGTTTCTGGAAAACTAATATCTGACAACATCCTAGTTGTGCATTAACTTATGCATTACACTGATGATGCTAGTAATGGTGGTAAAAGAGGAGCTTTAGTTAAGTTTGACATGGAAAAAGCGTTTTGTCGTAACCGGTTTTTGTCCAGGTACGAATTTTTACTTGGCGGGAAAAGTAAAATGAATAAATAAATGATTTTGATTTTAAAAAATGTTTTGGAGTTGTCATTGACCTTTTTGGGTTAGGTAGATCAAATACCTAAAAATAATTTTTTAAAATAGTTTGTAAGAAAACATAATTTAAAAGATAAACTGATATGCGAATAACAAAAAACTTTTAGTAAAAAGAAAGGATTCATGGTCGGTTACGTTTAGGGAAGGATTAGCACCCCTATAACGCCCAAAATTGGTACCCATTAATTATAAATTGTCTCTATTATTGAAAATTTAAGAAAAAATATATTTAATTCATAATCTCTTGATTTCAAATTTATTAGTATAATTCCAAGAAAATATATTAATTTTTATAAATATATATTTTTTATATTTTTATAAATAAGATATTTATTTATTTAGAAATATCATAAAAGGACTTATAGTTGCTTTAAGACAACCCCTTTCTTAATATTAAAAATAAATAACTATTAATAAAACTTTTTTCTAAAAATAATAAATATATATAATTTATAAAAGTAGGATATTTATTTATTTAAAAATATTAGAAAAAGACTTATAGTTGCTTTAAGACAACCCAATTCTTTGATATTAAAAATAAATAAATATTAAGAAGAATATAATAATTTTTCTTAAAAATAATAAAAATGAAGTAAATATATATATATATATATATATATATATATATATATATATATATATATATATATATAGATATTTATTTATTTTTTAAAATACCAGAATATGATGTCTAGTTATTTTAAGACCGCCCTTTCTTAATATTTAAAAATAAATAAACATTATTATTTAATCAAATATGAAATTATTATATTGTATTTCATGTAAATATTTAGTGAATAAAACATAAATAAATAAATAAATAAAGTACTATATTTAAAGTACTGAAAAATAAAGGATAATAATAAAATAAAATGGCAATTAAATAATGACCAAAATAAACAAATTAAAATTATGTAATCATATTCATAAATAAAATAATAACAAAATTAACTAATGACTAAAATGAAATAAAATAGAAATTAGCATGCAAAAATCGAAATAAAATAAATAAATAAAAAATCGGTGACTAAACTGTAAATATGCTTCTAAATTAGAGGGATTATTTCGTGATTTTCCCTATTTTAAGTGAATAAAGTAATAAACTCTCAAAGCCTAGGGACCTGACGCATGGTTTACCCAAAAGTTTTATAAACTTAAAACTCATCTTCTTGCTCCTTATCTCACACGCAGAACACCCCAAAGCTTCCAACTTTTCTCTTTTTTGTTTTGTTTTATTTATTTATTTAACATGATGTTTGATTTAAAAAATATATATAATAATATGTAAAGCTGAAAAATACAAGAAAAAAATGAAATCAACCTTGGTTGTGTTTTTATTTCCAATCCTTTGTATGTATTGCTGCTTGATCGGGGATAGAGGAGGAGAGGCCTTATTCTCCTGTTTTGTTGGGGTTTTATAACCCATATTACATGCTTAAAACAAAAATAATGGTTGTTGTTTGTTTGGTGGTGAGTTGTAGGAGGGACAGCTGGGTTGCTTGCTAAAACGTGGAGGGACAACTGGTTTACTGGAAGCTGCTGGAATGCTGTTGTGGTGGAGCGACGAACAACTGGACGGTTGTCATTGTTGGAGCTGTTGGCAGCTGCTGAAGTTGAAACGTGGAGCTGCTAGAATGGGGAGGTAAAAATGGTGATTACAGCTGCCCCTTTTTGTTCGTTGCTATGGAATAGGAATGGAGCAAAGACGTAAAGCACCATTTTTAGCTTGAAATGTTCAAACTTTTTAGCTATAAGTTCTTCTCTTCTTATTACGAACTCCTTCTGGAAATGTTGATCCTCAAAAGAGGTGTCGTTGATTCAACTTCATATGTGAATTAAAGCAAGGTTGAACAAGTTCTTCTCATTATGAACTTCCTCTTCCTCTTCAGATGAGTTCTTCTCATTATGAACTCTTTCTGGAAATGTTGATGTTGATCTATCTATTTCTGTGATAGAATCATTCAAAAGGTTGGACAAGTTCTTCTCATTATGAACTTATTATTCTCTTCAGATGAGTTATTCTTATTATGAACACTTCTGGAAATGTTGATGTTGATCTATCTCCTTCTGTGATAGCGTCGAGTAAAAGGTTGAATAAGTTCTTCTCATTATGAACTTCTTCTTCCTCTTCAGATGAGTTCTTCTCATTATGAAAACTTCTGGAAATGTTGGTGCTGATCTATCTCCTTTTGGGATAGAATCGAGCAAAATATTGAACAAGTTATTCTCATTATGAACTTT